AGCACGTTGGAAAGAGCGTAGGAAAATTGATTGTGAATCCCACGATATAGATAATACATAGTATAAGAAGTGTTCTTGTGCGAGAGAAAAAAACTGCATAATATGATGGATATACGATGCATACAAATCTGTATAGTGTACATTTACAGGTTGTGAACGCATTCAAAACTCCAACCTATTCATTGCCATTAAGGCAATGTGCACAACTCCCGTGTACCAAAAAAGATCCCAAATCCAATTGTAAAAGTCAAAAGTGACTTCATTCGTTGAAGGTGCATCGTGTGTTAAAACGGATGGAATAAAGTAGCATAAATTGATTATTGTTATTCCAGCATCGCACAATGAAACAGAGATTATGATCCAGTAGCTAAATGTGTATTTATGCTTTCCTTTAATGACAAAAGAATTAATGTACCTTGTATATCTGCGCATGTCGTTACTTTTGCAAATTAGAAACGCAAGCAGAACGTTTGCAGCAAGTGAATACGCAGCTAATGAAATCCACGTCACTCCAACAACAGCAACTCTTATTTGTTGGTCCATGAGTCACCGTAGGGCTAAAAAGCGATAATTTTTACTTTTCCTTAATTAATTCTGTTTGCCACAAGGAACGGGTGTGAGCATTCAAAGCAAGGTGCAGATCCGGTTCCAGAAGATTTGATCCGGTCCCAGAAGCAATCATCGTGAGTTTAATTGGTCATAAAATATAGGTTAATAAAATCGCTTAGAAATTATTGATATATCGCATAGCGATTTTGAATATATGGCTTTCAGAAATATTTATTTCCAGCGACACTCAAGCAGCCACATTTTCTTAAATGATTTTGACCCTGGTCTCCCCATCAGAGACTTATAATTTTCAATGTTTTAGAGGGTTCGTTTTTTGGAAGTAAGCAATGCTTTAGGCTTGCGGCCACTAGACTTTTATCCACTCTGATCTAAACACTTGGTCGACGCAGAAATTACAAGCGACAATGACTAATGACCACAAATCGTCCCCAAAGGTCTTTGAAATACCTGGAATATAGAGCAGCACAGTGCAAAGCGTATACAACGATTTGAAGAACACGAAACTGAAACCTTACTAAATACAACTGTACCTTCTGGTACCATAAGGTACCGACAGCTATTCTTACAACAAGAAATCGAACCATTAAACAGTCAGTTGTAACAAAGCTCAAAATAGGCTGCAATTTGTGCAAATTCAATTCTGACACTGCCTGGTAGAGTGCTTTTGCGTAAGTTATGCTCTAGATATTATCAACTACGATTCAGTTAACAATAGCATTCTCTTATATGCTAGATGGGACTTCAACAGTACTTATGGTTAAACAAATTGGAGAAAAGCAAAGTTGCGAGACGCTAACTTTGA